GCAGAACGCAAGCTGGAGCTCAAGCAAGCCTCACACCAGGTGAAACGAGGTAACGACGCAGGAGCGGAGGCTGACACTGAGCGCGCGACATTGACTTTACTTGTCGAGCGGCATTTTGGTGGGACTGTTGAAGGCCGGCATGGTTCGGAAGTCGGGGGACAAGATACCAAGGACATATCATGAGGTGTGGTGGAGACGTTCAGCGCCAGTATGACATCTGTTTAGCACCTAGTAATTGATGGTGCACGACACTCCAAGGGGCGAGGCGTTGGCGATGCCACCTAGATCTGCGACGGGCAAGAATTGAGCATCAGAGGATGTTATTTGTCACGAAGAAATAATAAGAAGATCTATCCTGCAGCGTCGTCCGGGGTATCAAAAGTGAAAAGAAAAATAGGCCTACTTGGTGTCGTGGAAAAGAGCGGCAAGCAAGAGAGGGGGGAAAATCCTTCCGCAGGCGCCGCTGGGGCCGGAGACCCGCACAATCATTTTTGTTCGAGCACATCGGCGTCGAGCTGCTCCATGACCTCAATGATGAGCTTGAGGCTATCCATGAAGGAGTTGACGGCGACGCGCAGCATGCGGTTGGTCGTGGCCTTGTAGTGAACCTCAAGGACAGAGGAGGCGGCGGAGGCGGGCTGGGGCTTGACGGCGAAGGCGCGGGAGACGAGCGGCGAGAGCTCCTTGTCGACGGCGAGGGCCTGGTGGGCTACGGCGGCGAGGCGGTCGGTGGGGAAGGGGATGGTGAGGGTGCTGAAGGCGAAAGAGGACCGATCGTCAGTGTATTGTCGTGAAGGGAGGCCGGGGCAGCAGGGCGTGGACGTACAGGGAGCAGGGAAAGTCTGGATCGGCAGCGGTCGCCATGTTGTGGTGCGTGGCGGTCGGTGCGAGGGTCGACCTGGTGTTGTGGTGGAATGCGATGTTGCGGTGTCGCTGGTGCGGGGGAAGGGGAGGGGGCAGGGGAGCAGCGACAGAGGGAGTCTTGTTTGTCGCCAAAATGGTCAAAGTTCTAGGGTTGTCTTGGAGGTGAAGACCCCGCGGTGGATGATGTTCAGATGTCAGTCAGTGAGTGCAGGGAGGTGGTTGTGTTCGATTGGGTCAGACGCATCGGGAAGAACGGTCCCACTATGTGTGTGGCTTGCTTCTTTCGCACACGCAAGGCTGTTGTTCGTGTGGGCGTTGCTGAGGCGGTGCACGATTTCGATGATCGACCCCTTGGTGGGCTCCGGGTTTCATGGTGGTCGGTGGGCAGGTGTGGACAGGTGCGGGGTTACCACGACAACCCAAAGGCCCCAGCCAACCAGACAATAACAGAGGCCCAGGCCTCTCCAGGGGCCCGGAATCAAAATAACAGTCCCAAGTGCTCGGCCTCGTACAAAAACATCTTCTCAGCCGTCATCGCATACCATCGACACTTTCAGGATTCCCAAACTCCATCTCCTGGCCTTTTGCATTATATCCCCTCCCCTTTCGCTTCACTTGCTAGGCGCCCAGTGTAGACCAAGGTCAACATCAGAACCACAGGCGACCAGTGTGTTTGTTGTTGTTATGCCATCATCGACCGCCCAACGCTTATCAGCCTGACCGCCCAAGACTTGCAGCGCAACTCGCATTCCTGCCTCGCCAACCGCAACATCGCCACCTCCTCATTCTACCGCCACCCGCCGACGGCAACAACAACAACAACATCAGTCCTGACATATCTACTGCCGGACTTCAGCAGCGACCGCCGCGGCGATTTCTGCGCTTTTGCACCCGCTCCAGCTTCCACCAGTTGCGACACGGCACCTCCTCTCCAGTCCTTGCTGAGCGAGCCCGCGTCGTCAAAGCTACTCCTACCCCGAAGCAAGCACCGCCAACGATCCGATGGCGCCTTCTTCCAGATCTGCCTCCCACAACCTGGGACAGGTCGTCGAATACATCCCTGGTACGTATTGCCGGTCCTCGTCATCGACAGCTTCAACCTCTCCCCACGTCCCACGCAGTGGTGCCACCCCGAGCCATGTCGCATTGTTACCCGATGCTCCGCGGCTAGCCTCGCAGCTCGCAAACCATCGACATGAGTCTCCGCCCCTTCGGCCCCGAGGCTTTGATCTCTACATTTCATCTCCAATCTCCATTGTATCTTGGTATAGAGGCCCCCTTCACGTTTCTGACATGCATCGCAGACCGCCTCTACCTCGCCGCTTATATCCATCCTCCCACGGCCGACACACTCTTCCCCTACCCTGAGCCTCTGCAGTCCCCGAGGAAGAGGTCGCAACGCGCTGCTGAGGGCCCCAAGCCTGTTTCCGGCACCCCCAAGCCGGCGCCCTTCTACTTCACCGTTGACGACACCCTCCTGTACAACGCTTTCCACCACGACTTTGGCCCGCTCCACATTGGCCATTTGTACCGCTTTGCGCTGCACTTTCACGATGTGCTCGGTGCCAAGGAGAACAAGGACCGGCCCATTGTCTTCTGGAGCCGGGCTGACCCGCGCAGTATGTTCACACCCCTCGTCGCCGTCATTGAAACCGCACTCGTTGCTAACATTTCGGGGTTCCCAGGCCGCGCCAATGCTGCTTGCATGCTCGCGTGCTACATGGTCCTCATCCAGGGATGGCCGCCTCACCTGGCCCTTGCGCCCATGGCCCAGGTCGACCCTCCTCTGATGCCCTTCCGTGACGCCGGGTACAGCCAGGCTGATTACGGCATCACTGTACAGGACGTTGTCTACGGTGTCTGGAAGGCCAAGGAGGAGGGGTGCTGCGCTCTCGACAACTTTGACCTCGACGAGTACGAAAAGTACGAGAGGGTCGAGCATGGCGACTTCAACTGGATCTCGCCCAGCTTCCTCGCCTTTGCCTCCCCTCAACAGACCCCCATCGCCAAGATCCCCGAGGGGACCCCAGAGTGGGATAAGCTGCCCACCACCATCGCCGAGGTCGATGCTCACGCCACGCTACCTGTGCCTTTCAAGAATGTTCTCAAGCACTTCAGCGAAAGGGACATCGGGCTCGTCGTCCGACTGAACTCACAACTTTACTGCCCCTCGTACTTTGAGGCGCTGGGCATCCAGCACCTCGACATGATCTTTGATGATGGTACGTGCCCGACCATGCCGACGGTTCGCAAATTCATCCGACTCGCTCATGAGATGATCACCGTCAAGAAGAAGGGCATCGCTGTCCACTGCAAGGCTGGTCTCGGAAGGACAGGCTGCTTGATCGGTGCCTATCTGATCTACCGCCACGGCTTCACGGCGAATGAGGTCATTGCCTTTATGCGCTTCATGAGACCTGGCATGGTTGTCGGGCCCCAGCAGCACTGGTTGCACATTCACCAGGGCACATTCCGTGAGTGGTGGATTGAGGAGCGCGTCGAACGCAAGTTGAGGAAGGAGATGGCCGCCGCCGCTCATGCCACACCCAGCACGCCCATTCGTGCCATGCAAAAGGCTTCACTCCGTAACCCCCAGGCAACGACGCCGTCTCCCCAGCGAAGTGCCTCAAACCGTACTCCCCTCAGCGAGGTCAACGATGAGCGCGGTAATGTTGCGTTCACGGAATGCAC